AAAAATGTAGGGAACAGCATATCTTAAAATGAAATGGAGATCTTCTTTAAACAGTAAAAATTCATTCAGTTTTATGTCTTACAGGGTTTACACTGAGTTCAATATTGTATGACTGTATTAATTCAACTGTGAACCTAGAAATTTACAGCCACCTTTGAAAGAGATATATCCTTGCTCTGGAATGTGTTACTGAATATGTTAAAGCGGTAATGAAATGCTTCTTCTAATCGTGGTTATTACATTTTTAAAAAATTTAAAAAAACACAATGAAAGAAAAAAAAATTTATTATTATTTTTATTTTACGTGTATGTGTGTAGTGCCTGCATGTAGGTAAGTGCGCCCATGTCATGCAATGTCTGCAGAGGACAGAAGAAGCTGTAGGATCCCCCTGGAACTGGAGTTATGGACAGTTGTTAGCTGCCATGTCGGTGCTGGGATTCGAAACTGGGTCTTCTGCAAGAACAGTCAAGTGTTCTTAATCACTGAGCCATCTCTCCAGTACCTAATAGTCTTTGCCTTACTCATAGTACTGAGATTGAAAAAAATCATCAATGGTCCCAATATACAAATAGGTTAATTAATGATCTTGAAACAGTGCAACGTGGCTACATTTTGTGTTAAGACAATGTGCTAGATGGTTACCATAGTCTACTTGTGTGTATCACAATTCATTCAAAATGCAAGACAAGCACCAACCTATTTATAAACCATCAACAAGGGCTAACACAGATTCAATTACGACATTGCTCATGCTGTTGATGTGTCCTATAGGGAATATTAGAGAACTTCTTGCTTTATATTTAAAACTACTGTCTGATTTTGAAATTTCTGTATCAAATCAATTAATAGGAAAAAGAAAACTACCTGGAAGTTTTCTTCCTCTAAATATTTTTAAATATTTTATTATTTTTGTTTTATGTGTGTGAGTATTTTGCCTGAATGAAAGTAAGCACACCAAATGCGTGCAATGCCCACAGAAGTCATAAGAGGGAATTAGATTCCCTGGAACCGGAGTTATGGATGGTTTTTAGCCACCATGTGGGTGCTAGGAATCAAACCTGGGTCCTCTGGGACAACAGCAAGTGTTCTTAACTGCTGAGCCATCTCTCTAGCCCCATCTTCCTCTAAAAATTTTAAATGTTAGAGAATCTCTGGTACACTTCACTATTTTTATTTTGATAGTCCCTAAAATATAAATATGTTTTAGAACAGTTAAGATACCAATAATTCATTGCATTGTGCTTGAAGTACAGAATCAGTCGTCTAATAGGTAAAGCTTTTTTTTCCACATACTGAGTCCTAGTTGTTAACTCCAGAGGGAATAAAAAGTAGGGGAGTTCTCCAAAGATATACCCAGAAGTGAGCACATTAGCCTTTCTCCTTAGGGGCAGCATAGAGAGGACAAATCTTCATGCCCTGTGGAACTCTGGATGATGGCCATGAACTGGATGTGAGAAGTAAGTTTTCACCCATTTTGATGAAATTGACTATAACATACTTAAAATTCTTCCTGGGTGTAATAAACTGAACATTTGTTAAACTATATCCTAAGGTATTAAAAGACGTAATCAAATTATTCCAAGTTAAGAAATGGCTCAGCAACTCAGAGCACTTGTCACTCTTGCAGAGGACTCGGGTTCAATTCCCAGCACCCACATGGTGACTGACAACTGTCCATAACTGCAGTTCCAGGGGATCTGATGCCCTCTTTTGATGTCAACAAGCACGACACACATGGGCGTACTTAACATACATTCATGCAAAACACTTATATACATAAAATAAAAATGAATAAATTTTAAAAATTCTTCCAAGTTAGATCTCCTCTAACACAAGAATAAATTTTTGAAAGAAAATATGACTCTTTTAAAATCAAAGTAGATAAATTGTCAGGTTTTAATACATGAAGTTATACTTGTAATTAAAGTTCAGCTCACAACTATTCCCATTTATAAAAGCCTAGGCTGGGAGCTGGGCATGGTGGCACATACCTCTAATCCCAGCACTTGGTGGGCAGAGGCAGGCAGATCTCTGTTCTAGGCCAGCTGTGGGCTACAGGGAGACCCTGTTTTAAAAACAAACTGTGGTGGTTTTTACTTAGCCCATGGTTTTTCCTCACTCGATACCACCCTATTCCCCAAAGATGGATATATACTTAGAAGCTAAAAGATAATTATGTAACAGCTGTCTACAAATGCAAAACATACATAAATAGGAAAAATGAGGTAAAGTAAGAGATTAAAGACCATTAGGAATTGGTACTGTTTGATTCACCATTCTGAATATAAAATGCTGAGGGCAGGTTTAGTGTCCATTACCTTACAATTGGATTCCCCATCAAGACTGGCTGTAGTTACATAACAGGTTCCATCAGTTGTGCAAGATGATAGAAGAATAAGATCACAAGGAAAGGTTTCATCTGCTTGTACTTCTACTACATCGCCAACCTAAAATGAACAGTAGAACAAATATTTAAAATGCCAAACCAAGCACTCACTACACTTCACATTAAAGAGAAAACTTAATTAACAGACATCTCGAGCTATTGGGGCTTTGAGAGGTATCTTAGCAGCTATACCACATGCAAAGAGATGTAAGAGCATTATTGAACATACTTTCAGATCAGAGGATCTTAGCACTGACTTCTAACAAACAACCCTGACACAAAATATGCTATGTGCCCTCTAATATTCCTGGCACTAATATGTGATAAAACATTTACCATTATCACTTTATGAATGAAATAGGGGGAAAAAACCTACAGGTTTCAAGTCAGGCACTTCATGACTACTGAGTCTCCACACTTTCACTTTGTACCACACATATCTCAACATATGTACTTCTGCAATGTGGTAAAACAGTTATGATTGTTAGGTTCCTTCTTGACTGTTCAGAAAATTTCAGCTAATCAGAAAAGCATCAAATTTCCCCCAAAATTAGAAAAAAAAAGATTTTACTATAGGTTATTTTTCTAAGAATTCATCTATCAGAAGAATTGGTGAATAGAGCAATAACAATTCCCTATCAGCAAGTATTCTGAGTTCAAGTAGAAGAAAAACTTGAGCAAGAAATCTTGAGCCACTTAATAATACAAGGAATAAAACATAAGTTTAAAATATGGACTTTTAAACCTGAGTTCATGTCCCAGATTTGTCACTAAATGGTATGAACTTGAGTAAATGTCTTAGATGATCACAACTACTGCATGAACTTGAGTAAATGTCTTAGATGATCACAACTACTGCAGAAGACTGAGTTATGAAATGAATTAACAAGTAAAATATTAAGTAATGTGACTGGTACATATTAACTAGGTGTTAATCATACTTATTAATACAATGCAACTTGTGGCATTACTATGCCAACAATTATAATTACCTAAACAAATAAAAGCCTAACTCTTAAATTTAGCTTCTAAGAGTGGGCCTGAACTTGGAGGACACTTGTTCACCTAGGTATCTCTTAGAACTGTCTGTCCTCTGGAACTGTGCTGATGGAACTGTCTTGCTAGACTCCTTCCCCAGAACTGTGTCCTGAGTGTAGTAGCACCATCCATAATTTCAATCAAAATGGTTTCTCTGGCTTCATTCAGGGGAGGACAAGCTTGAATTCACCCTAATCTTGACAAAACATCTTGCTGTTTTATCCCTATTTCCAGAGTATTTCAATCACCCAAGGTTACTCCTTCCTAGTCTCCAGCACATGCAATGGAGATGGGTGCACCACTTTCAGAGCATTGATATGTTCCTTCTGAAGCAAACCCACATCCACTCATTATCTTTTCTGGTACATTACCAAATTGAGGTTGCCTAGGAAGGAGATCATCAGGTGCCGAGGTCACAACACACAAGAGCACATGATTTTGTAAGGGTTAAATGTCATTAGATTATGTCCATTTATAAAAGTCATTCCCACAGCAACTACAATATTCCCAAATTATGAATGCTCGAGAACATTTAAGAAGGATAAAAGAAATCCTATAGATAGTACATTCCAATACATTTTATGGCATGGGACACACCATTTTGAATAATCTAAAAGACCTCCTAAATTAAAAAAAAATTAAAACAAACCCACAAGACAGCCTCCCTTCCAATCACAAACTAATAATCTACAAAATAATATATCATTTTTAGTTCATCAGAGGCCTGGATATACAAGAGAGGTAAAGAGAGGCAGCTGTTGATGACAGACAGCAAGTCTTCTCAAGAAGAGAAGTCAATCTCTGTCTCAGGGACCTAGACACAATAGATTATCAATGACCAACTAATACATGAAATAATTTCCTTTTATTTACAGCATGATTTCAAAGACTAAAGTGAGTATTTCAGACCTATTCGGCAACAATTTTATTTGCTTGACTGATTTTAATTAGTAGCCAAGAGCATTAGAATGAGTAATTACAATCAAACTAATCTGTACATACTATTTTATTTCTTGAATTTTTTCTTCCTCTCTTACATAAACAATTAAAGTTTCTCATAATAAAACTATAGCTCTGCTTAAATATACAGAAGAAAAAAAGTGAAAAAATTGTAACATCTTAGAAGAAGAAGCACTCAGAGGTGAGAAGGTAAGACTTAGTAAACCTCAAAAAACATTGTTTCTTCAACACAAAATATAAAGGTCCTTCTGTCTGCAATGCAAGTTGAAGCTGTTGCTTTGGGCAGAGATCAGAACACAAAGGGCCAGGCTAGGCAGGCTAAGAAATTTAGGCTTCACCCTGAAGTCAATCGGAAGGAAAATATAATAAAAGAGAATGACCCAGACAACTCTAAAGTTCTGCTTCAATACATTTAAAAATCCACAAGTAGGGAGCCAATGGGATGGCTTGGCAGATAAAGGCACTTGCTACCAAGCCTTACAATTCCCAGAACACAAATGGTAGAAAGAGAGAATTCACTCCTGCAAGTTAGCCTCTGACCTTCACACATGCACACTGTTGCTCATGTGAGTGCACACACACATACAAACAAGTAAAAAAAATAAATTCCTACACCCTGAGAAGGTGGGTTCAGACCTCCATTGGTGTAGAGGATCTGATCTCAGCAGACCACCAGGGAGTACTGAGATCTGGCCTCCCTCTAGCAGAGGGCCTGAGAACCCAGGGGACAGCCTGAGAGCCCCTGGATCCACAATCCACGTGGCGAAGGAAGCCTGAGTGTACCTGACTGGAACCAGAATTGAGCTTCTCTGGGTACCCCTAAATACCTGATCTGAAGCCATCAGTTCCCTCCAAATTAAACCTGAGAGAACCTGAACCCTGTACCAACCAGCTTTACATAACCAATAAAGAAAGGATCTAGGCACCCTGATAATACAAACAGAAGCATACTTCAACATAATTCTCATTCAGAATCATAAACAACAAAAGAAATTCACATGCCAAAATCACAATGAAATAATAATAAAATGGAAAGCCAAAACACTATGTCCCCACTGAACTCCACCAATCTGTAGGAGAGTTCTACAAAGAGAACTCCCTAGAGATAACCCAGCACACTGAATTTAAAAGAACAATCATAAACATGATCAAGGAATTCAATGAATTTAAAGAACACACGAACAAACAAATCAAAGAGCTAAAAGAAGATAGGGATAAACTTCTGAATGAATTCACAAAAGAGATAGAAACATTGAAGAAAACTCAGGCAGAAATGAAGAAGGAAGTGCAAAACTCAATAAGCCAGCTTGAAACAAGGGAAAGCCTCACCTCTGGAATAAATGAAATGGAAAACAGAATATCAACAAGGGGCGATAAAGTTGAAGAACTGGACCACTCAAGCAAAGATTACAGAAAAGTTTGAAAAACACAGGAATGGAATATGCAAGAGATGTAGGACACCATGAAAAGAACAAAACTATGTACCACAGGCATAGAGGAAGGAGAAGAATTTTAGGTTAATGGTGTTGACCAGATATTGAACAGGATCATAGAAGAAAACTTCCCAAAATTAAGGAAAGACATCCCCACACAAACACAGGAAAGGAAGCACATAGAACACAAATTAGGATCAGAAAAGAAACTCCTCATGACATATCATGTTAAAACACTAAATGTACAGAACAAAGAGAGAATACTGAAAACGGCAAAAGAAAAACAAGTCACATAGAAAGGAAAGCCCATCAGAATTACAGCTGACTTATCAATGCAAACTACGAAAGCCAGAAAAGCCTGGACCAAGGTATTTCCAGCTCTACATGACAATAGATGCCAGCCTAGAATATTATGCCCAGCAAAAACGTCTATTATAGTTGAGGGGAAAAGAAAAATCTTCCATGACACAAATAGCCGGAAAGAATACATGTCCACAAAACCAGCCCTTCAAAGAACACTTGAAGCAATACAGAGAGCAGAGAGAAAAACAACTATACCCCAGGGGCAATGAAAGAAAATAAACAAAGGTATAATCTAGGAAACACAAAATTACACAGAGAACACAAACAGCAATGAAAATGAAGGCAACCAATACATATCCCTCAATAATAACCTTAAATATCAACGGACTGAACTCTGCAGTCAAAAGACACCAACTAAGTGAATGGATTAAGAACCAAAATCCATCTCTTTGCTGTCTGCAAGAAACCCATCTCGCCTCAGGGACAGGTACTACCTTAAGGTAAAAAGGTGGAAAAGACTATTCCAAGCAAATGGCACTAAGAAACAAGCAAGGGTTACAATTCTAATATCTGAAAAAATAGACTTCAAAGTAAAACTAATCAGAAGAGATAAGGAGGGTCACTTCATTCTGATCAAAGGAACAGTTAACCAAGAATATATTACAATCCTTAACATATATGCAGCCAAATTCATAAAAATAACACTACAGGACTTTAAGACACAGATTAACCCCAACTCAGTATAGTAGGGGACTTCAACACCCCACTCCATTAGACACGTCAACTGGACAAAGAATAAGCAGAGAGACGTCTGAATTAAATGATACCATACATCAAATGCACCTAACAGACATCTTTGGAATATTCCGCCTAAACACCAAAGAATAGACTTTCTACTCAGCACCTGTGCTGGATAGCATTAGTGTCAACTTGACACACCTGGGTTGAGGGAGCCTCAGTTGGGGAATTGCCTCTATTGGACTGGCCTGTGGCCATGTCTGTGGGGATTCTTCTTGATGAGTATGTGGCAGAGCCCAGCCCAATGTGGGTGGTGCCACCCCTGGGCAGGTAGGCCTGTGTCGCATAAGAAAGCAGGCTGGGCAAGGGCCAGGAAGCAAGCCAGTAAGCAATGTTCCTCCATGGCCTGTGCTCCAGCTCCTGCCTCAAGGTTCCTGCCCGGAGTTCCTACCTTGGCCTCCCTGATGGACTGTGACCGGAGAGATGTAAGATAAACAAACATTTTCCTCCCCAAGTCGGTAGTGGTCAGAGTGTTTTGTCACAGCAATGAATAAACAAACGAGGACAGTACCTCATGGAACTTTTTCAA